AACACAGGACTCTCCAGACATGGACATAATCTATAAATAGTTTAAAAACATATATTAAAAATGGGCTAAAAACCTCCTATAATTTGGCCCCAAAAAACCTGTGAGATGCTGGGGGGGGGGACAACCCTCACCCCACCAGCCATCTCCACAGATGCGGGCCCCCCCTCTGGCCCCCAGGCCTTCTGGCAGAGCCAGGATTTGATCTCTTTCCTTTTTTAATCACCTTTTTGCTGCTTATCCCCCCTGCCCCAAATTTTCAAGTTCTTAAACTTGTAATTAAAACTTTCTTTTGCTAAGGATTGAAGGAGACTCATCCGGTGCTATCAAACTTGTTGATCCAAAGATTTCTAATAGCTGAAAACGATTAGAAGCAGTTAACAAGCAATTTCCAAAAGTGATTAGAAAAGGAGGCATGTGAACTTAGTGCCCTTTCAAAGGTGCCAACCGTGGTGTGAGCAGGGGCTCATGTCCCGGAGCTCTAAACCGGCTGGAGATCACTGTCTTGTGTTCTCCTTGTGAGGAGCAGATGTCTGGAGCACCTGTGGGTGATCTCAAGTCCTCTCCTTGTCTGGAGAGATTTCGAAGAGCCAGTCTACTCACCGGCTCTTCATACCATCATGGTTGTCAGCTCTAGTTTCAGTCTGCCCATTCTTCCTTCAGAAGTCCCACAAATCAACAAAGCATAATGCATGTTGCTAATATTTTCACAAACAAAACAAATTTGCATATTTTAAAGCACAAAGGCTATAATTATTACAAATAATCTCATAGTTCTTTTCAGTGTATGTTAAGTTTCACAACTTAAAAAGTATAACAATTTTCTAATTTTAAGTTAAACACAGATTTACATAAATAACCTACCCTACGCTAAGCAAATATCCAAACTGATTGGTAGTTGGATTACCATGGAGTACTCTTTCTAATCACTGTAAGATGGCTCTGACAGGAAAGGATTAACTCTTTAGGCAGAAGGCAGGGCTTAAGATTCTTCCTCTCCTCTCCCATGGAGGAAATTGCTCCTTTTCAGTTGCATGCAGACTTCAGTCACAGTTGCTGGTGCCACCCAGTGCTGGTCCAGCTGCTGGAGGATTGGTGTTGCTCATTGTTTGCTTACTTGCTGAAGGGTCACTTCAATTGCTGGCACTTGATGCCTAGTTCAATGTTTACCTCTGCCACTCTTCTTTGTTGCTTGGCAGTTCCTCTGGCTGATGCTAGTGCAGCTGTTCCTCGATCATCTGAGTCTGTGAAGCCAGGTATTTGTTCTCATTTTGTGTTCTTCAACTTCCATAGGGCTTCTGTGCTATATGTCTTTGGCAGGTATTTATAGTTGCTGGTGTCCTCTGCTGCATGGAATTTTACAGCTTAACTTCCTTCTGCTCTCAGCCTGTGGCCAATTTCCATTTCTTTTATTGCTTTGGCCCTCAAAATGAAGCTGAAAGGAAGGCCACTCTTTCTCCTAGAAGGCACAGCTAAAGACTGAAAGGGAAGGGCTTCTTCTGTAGAACATGAAGTCTTAAGCTGTGTTTCTAGCCAAAAGAGGCGGCATTAATAATTTCCTGTAGACTCCAGCTTCAGCTAGAATTGCAACTGTTGTGTGTGAATAGACCAAATCAAATGGAGATCTGGCCGTCCTCAGAGCCTGAGCTGTCATACTGGACCTAGTTATACCAGTTCCCGTTTTGTCTGCTCTATTACCCTCCCTCATCTTTCCCAATATCAACAAGCACTGTATGGATGCCTAAAGATTTGGATTCTTTTTTTTTTCAAATTAAATGACTCTTTCCTGATGCAGAAGTCTTTTTTAAAATATAGGTAATCTTGGTATTCGTGTATTCTGGAGAGCAAACTCCGTGCAGATGATTTTCAGAACTTAAAAAAAAAAAACTCATACAGTGACCCTAGATTCAACAAACTCTACTGACTTTGGGTGCAATGGGACCAAATTAGAGTATGGATGTCACCCCTGAAATAATGGAAAAGTCTGTTGTTTCTAAAAACTGCAAAAATGTACCACATCTGTGTCAATCTACATCATTTGCATAAATCTGTAACAGGCATTTTTATGTTATTTGCATTGATTTATACCATGTAATGGAATCCTTTCCCCAGAAAAGTCTGTTAAATTCAGTTTTATAATAATAGTATTTTACCACCTTTGGACTTTATTTTGGCACATTAAAGGAGACTTGTCAACATCACTTGGCTGCATACCTGGACAAGTTGATTTAATTTGGTATATACATGAGTGCGCCCATGCAAATACCATACACATGCCTCACTGCCGATAAGATATGATGGTGTGGAAGTCACTCAACTCTGAAGCAGCGCAGGAAGCTGCAGAGCATGCATGGGTCAAACAGAATCTTTTTTTTAATCCTGTGCCCCTGCATCCTAACATAGGAATGGAACCTTCCTTGATGGTCAGTGATTTTTAGTGTTTGAGTAGGCATTTCAACAATAATATGTCCAATATGAGCTTTATTCAGTTTCTCAAGTCTCTTTTCTCTTATTGTACTGTTTGAGTTCACAGATCATGCTACCCTAGTTTAATTCAGCTTAGCATGTTATATGAACTCAGCCACTGTTGCTTGCAAACTATGATTTATGATTTAGAGCAGTGTTTCCCAACTTTGGCAACTTTAAGATGTGTGGAATTCAACTCCCAGAATTCCCTAGCCTTAAAGTTGCCAAAGCTGAGAAACACTGATTTAGAGTTTTGTATGAACACAACTAATTGTAGCTGATTTATCAAAATGCTTAAACAATGGCTTAGCATGAAGTTAGATGCCATGATAAATAAGGACTGTCTATGGAAAGGCTACAAGTTACTGCCTGAAACAGGTTGTTATGATACATTCTTGTCCATGTGTTTGACTTGTATGCTGCTGCTGCTGCTGAGTCTCATATTTCTAGTGGCCAACAATACTAACCACACAACTGTAGTGACCAGGAGTTAAGCCCAACTAGAAGGCACCAACTAATAGTTAGGAAGGCATAGAAGCTTCTTCTCATGGTAGCTACAGTAGCAAAAAAACAAAAAACCTACCATCAGCAAACACTACAGGTAGTTGCCTTTAAACTGTTCCACAATGAGGTTCTGCAACAGCTTTTGGTTGGATCCTGAACACCATGTGAAAGAATAAAAGCCTAGGGTTACTGGGCAGATCATTTACCAGCAAGGGCACCATCTGCAAGATATACATACATACATACATACATTCAAGGGGAGGTACAGGAACACAAGTAGCCAGTAACCAGACGCCTACAAAACCATGAGTGCATTTGGTTTGGTTCAGCCCAAAATCCAATCTGGGCAATCACTACAGCAAAGCTCTACAAAAACGTCTTGCTGCCATGTAATAGTTGATTGGATTTCTGCTAGACCTGGCAAGTTGCGTGAAGCCAGTCATTGTGGATCATAAAATGTGATTTAGACACTATAGTTTACAGCTAACCGCAGCTAGTAAGATTGTTTAACAAACTGCAACTTAGCAGGATGCGTGAATCCAGCCCAAATCACCTTGCTCGATGCATCTCGTTGGAAAGGCCATTCGGAAGTGCGGTTTATGGATGCTAGGACCGTGTTTTCCCTTCACACGTATTTCTACACGGAAAAGAAAAAAACAAAAGCAAAACCTTGGCTCTTAAATCAGTTCAAGACAATCTGCCGCGAATGAAGGAAAGCTCGCAGACGGCAAGTTGAGCCAAGGTTTTAGTTATGTGTGAGGGAGGTTAGTACAGCGTCCTTTGTACGAAACCAGGAGCGCAGAATACAATTTCCCGTTTGCAGGTGAGCTGCTGAAGAACAACCACGCCTGCTCCGCCGGGTTTCACCCCGCTTTTTATCAACTCTTCCCGCCCCCCCACCGCGCACTGAAGCACCGCGAGTAGAATGGTCGGATCTCCCGACAGTTCGGGAGCTTCCAAGTTAATAAAGGGGAAGGGGGGAGCGTTCAGAGAAAACGCGCGGGAGACCCCATTCAGGGAATAGTGCTTCGTATCCACCAACGCGGGAAATAGGATCATACCACTCCGGGGCGGATGGGGGGGCAGCAGAAAAAAAAATCAGGAGCCAGACGCACATTTCTGCGAGCTGCGAATTTAGGTGGTGAAACTACCTCTATTATGACCCTTCCACAGCTAGGAACGCGTTTTCAATCTCAACTTCCTCTTCTTTACCTCATTACCGCCATTCAAATAACCCAACACTTTCCGCTCCCGGCAAGTTGTTATCGCGTTACCCGGGGCGGGGGGCGAGGAAAGACGAGTGGCAGAAACGAACAATTGCCGCTTTCTGATTGGTCTACGGTCTGGAGGGGCGGGGACACAATAGCGCAGGAATCTGCCTTTCCGTGCTAGCCTGGTGTCGTAACGGAACGACGGGAGGAGGCGGGGCTTCTCGTTTGACATTTGGAAGCGAAACCGTTGGGAGGGAAGGAATGGATGGGAATCCCTCCGGACTGCGAGCAAGTCGAAAAGGGAAGTTTCTGTGTGGGAGAGAGAAGTACTATTGTTGCCCATAAAACTCAGGCACCCGAGTTGGCTGGAGCTGGAAAAAACCCAGTCCCTGAATTTGAGAGAGAAATACCTAATACCTTTGCAAAGTGGCTTTTTCGCCCCCACAATACAAACCACAAGTACTTCAGGCGAAGCGAAACGCTTTCCAGAAAAAAACCAAAACCAAAACCCTGAACTTATAGTGTAGGATAGTCCTGTGCAAAACTTGAGTCTCCTAGCTAGCCGCCTCTTTTTGCTCCATTCTGTTTTCCCTCTCTGTTCCCTGTTTATTCCCTTATTTATTTTACCAATCAGTATTGTGGGCTGAATCACCTAAACTGAGCTTGGCTGACGTTAAAACTAAGCAGGGTGGGGCCTGGCAAATGGTATGATAGGAATGCCTGGGTACCATGAATATATTTAGATCTTGAAGAAGAATGTGGCTGGCTTCTTGAAGCCCCTTTCCATGATATTTGAGAACTTGCGAAGGACAGGTGTAACCAGAGGACTGGAGAAGGACACATGTTATTCCTATTTTCAAGTTTAGTTTAGTTAAACTAAATCCTATCTTCAAGAAAGGGGGGGAAAAGACCCAAGTAACCATCACCAAGTTAGACTTACATTACTACCAGGCAAGAACTAGAACAGGTAATTAGCAGTCTGTAAGTATTTAGAAAAGAATATAGTGCTTGGCAAGAGTCAACATTGGTTTATCAATAACAAGTAATGTCAAATGAACCCAAGCAGTTGATCAGAAATTTGTAGTAGACATAATGTATCTTATCTTTAGTCTCCCATGAGATTCAGCTGGAGAGCATGGCAAAATGTGGAGTAAATTACCACTAGAGGGATACAGACCCGATTAAACAATTATATCCCACAAATATATATATCAAGGGTTCCATATCAAGCTGGAAGGAAGTGATGAATGGCATACTGCAGGACACCATTCTAGTGTTCTCTATATATTTATAAATGACTTGGATGAGGGTTTAGAAAACACAGTTATCAAATTTGCTACAATTCAAAGATATGGGTGATAGAAACGCCTTAGAGAGCATTGTGAAGATTCAAGACAATTTTGACAGTTGACAGTCTGGGACAATGAGCAGAAACCAGCAAGATGAATTTCAGCAGAGACAAATGCAAAGTCTTTCAAATGGGTAAGAAAAATGAAATGCAGGCATATAGGATAGGAGCGGGGGGAGGATCCTACTGCGCAGGAGAATATGTGAAAAAATATCTGGCACCTTAGTGGATCATGGACTGAATATATACCAACACTATGATGCAGTTATAAAAGCAGATGTAATCCTAATCTACATCAATGTAAGTACAGTGTCAGGATTGGGAGAAGTAATTCTTTGACTCTATTCTGCATCAATTAGTCTGCATTTGGGTGGTTATGAGTCTCACATTTTAGGAAATATACTGAGAAAAAGGAGTAAGTCTAGGTGAGAACAACCAAGATGGTTTGGAAGAAGAAATTTATGAAGAACAGGTAGAGGCACTAAATACATTTAGGGAAGATGAGACTGTGGGGAGACATGATATCTCTCTTCAAGTATCTGACAGGTTGTCATGCAGAAGATGGGGGTAGACCTGTTCAAAATTATTCCAGAAGACAGGATAAGGAACAATGGGATTAAATTACAAGGATGTGATTTCAGCTGGACATCAGGAAAAAATTTCTAACGAGAGCTTTTCAACAATGGAACAGATTTCCTTCAGTGGTAATAGATTGTTTTTCATAGGAAGTGTTTAGACAGAGGCTGCATGGCCTCTATTGGGGATACTGTAGTAATAGATTCCTGCACTGGAAAAGAGATTGGGCTAAAGGTTCTCCAGAGCCCATTCCAATCCTTACATTTTATTATTCTGATTCTTGATTGAACTAAAGCTGAGAGTTATATTAACTTCAGCTTCTTAAAACAGCCACACTCTTCAAGCTCATGCAAAGGAAGGTGCTGTGTACAGATGAGATTCAAAGCAATTACTCCAAATCATTTTAAAATTATGCACAACAATTATGAGTTATTTAAAGCTTTTCTCACCATTGCTGGATCACAGACTTGTCAATATTAATATAAATTAATATAATAATATAATAATATTATTATATTATATTATATTATTATAAAATTAATATAATACTATAAATTATAAATATAAATTCTCTATTCTGCTGTAGCCCCCACATTTTGGAATATCTTGCCCCTTGCAGGTGAGATTGCCCCCCTCACTCCTGGCCTTCCGGAGGGATTTGAAGACCTGGCTCTGCCATCTGGCCTGGGGTGGGGAGGATAGACATCAAGTGTGGGGATGGCTAGCCCCTTAGAGGCCTGGTGTCTGTTGCTCTGAACCATCGGCCTCTTGGACTCTTTCCTTTTTAGTAATTGCTTTACAGATTTTAGGGTTTATGTAATTGTACATCTACAGTATTTATTGTTTTAATGAGTTGTGAGCCACCCAGCCTCATTAGGAGGGGAGATGGGTGGAGATTAAATAAATAAATAAATAAATAAATAAAAAAATATACAGTATTCCCGTTGCTTAAAATTTTGGCTTAACCCGATTTTAGGATTGAAGTTTAAAAAAAAAACAGTGGGCAGAGAATTGTAAAATTATTCTTTTGCAAGATCTGATAGTTATTGAAAGCAGTAGTAAGAAAAGGTAAAATATGGTGTACCGTATATGTGAAAAATGATTTGTAAACACTTGTGCATGTCTCAGAAACAATTCTGAAATAGTCTTTTGGATGTCATGCATATTCAGCTTTAGTAAATGTATTAATATGTTGTAGAATTTTTGTCAGTTGGGTGTGGTGCTGAAAGAGTTAAATAACCTAATAGGTTGGGGTCATTTTAGAAGGTTGAGTGAGTGAGTTAAGAGGGATGAGATGGGCAGGTGAGGTCTAGAGGGATGTTTCTAAGGTAGACAAATAGAAGATTTTCACTATTTCTACATCCTACCCAAGAGGCTTACAGGTAGTTGTCAGGTTATGATGGCATTGGGACCAGGAACTCCATTGCTAAGCAACGCAGTTGTAAAACATGATGTTACATGACCACATCGCTTAGTGACGACAATTCCAGCAGTCCTAGTTGCTGTCGTTAAATGAGGACTCTGCAGGTTATTAAGCGAAGAACTCATGTGATTGCGACTTCTGACTTCCTGCTGGCTTCCCCTTTGACTTTGCTTTTGGAAGCCACCAGGGAATGTCAGAAATCACAATCAGGTGACTGTGGCTTGCTGTGACATTGTAATCGCGAGCTGAACTCCAAGGACCTGTCGTAAGTCCCTCTTAATCAGTGCCTTCGTAACTTTGAACTGTTGCTGAATGAATGGTTGTAACCCAAGTTATGTTACCTGTACTGTAATTTGATCCATGAAGGAAGGGAAGATCAAGTGAATTCATGAAAAAGAAGGAAAAGATAAAGAAATACAGTATTTATAGAAAGCTAATTTAAAACATTTTTGCATCCCTGGTGCCTCTGTAACTCATAAGGAAAACAGGTTCTGATAGAAGAGATTTTCCCTCTGAGCCAGAGTTTATTAATAAAGGAAGTGATTCACAATCGTATGAAATTTTATCTTAGAGTTTATATGACATCAGTAGAATTCTATATTACAGTGAGATATAGCAAGAATGACACCAAGAGATATTCTTAAGCAAACAGTAACTTTTCTTATAACATATACTATATGAGTTGTTTTCACATCTCACTCACAGTTCATTTTAAATTTTGATCCTAATCCATTATCCCAAAGTCCCAGTTGCGCTTTCTATAGTTGTAGTGGAAAAAGTTTTTTATTTGCATAGCATGACTGATATGCTTTATGTCAGTCATGTGTAGAGAAGGATTGCCCCCTGGCCCATCCCTCCCTGATTCTACCTGGAACTGAATAGTAGGGTTGAATAGTATCTTAGTTCCAGGTAGAATCAGGGAGGAATGCTAAAGGTACAAGGCTCCATGAGCCAGGGGGCAATCCTTCTCTGTTGTAGCCCCAGAGGTATGTCTGGCACCTTCTTAGCCTTCCATGAGCTGGTAAATGTTGCTAACCAGCATTTGGGATTTAGATGTTGGCAGGTAATTGTGTAGGAGTCTTTCTGTTCCTACAGTCAACTGTCTATTGTCTGAATTTTGTTTTGAATTTTATAGTATGTGTAAGCAACAGGTGGTAGTTTGGGCTGTGCAGTATAGGAATACTTGTAATAAATAAATAAATGAATCTGGCCAGGCTTTGTGGAGAAAAAAGAAATATCCCCCAGTGCATCCTGATGGGAGAAGCTGTTGGGCAGTGACTTTGAATGCTGCTGAATACTCCATCTTTCTGCCCCCTTCCCTCCCGCTCCAGAACTCAGGATAGGTGAGTGTTTTCCTCTATGTAAATGTACTTTGCTCAGGATTTGCAGGTTTTCAATTAAAAAAGTACTGTGGTGTGTTAGTGAGGGCAAATAAGTCATATGGTATCTGGGATACAGATGTCACTTTTGTCTTGCACTCAGATGAAGATGAGTGACATTTTCAACATACTGTCATGACAATAATATTGACAATAGCTTAAGGGGACTAGGCCCCTTTAGTTTGCAAAAAATGGTAAAGTCTCCTTTGACCTGAGCTCAGTTCAAACTTCAGGATCATATTCATGTAGTTTTCTTGTCAGCAGTATCTAAGTGATTTGCCCTTGCCTTCTTCTGTGAGGTACCTAAATGGATAGATAGTTATGGCTTTCAATCTAGCCTAT